CACCAAACTGTGAGTGATTCAATGTATAGATAACATATACCGTTAAACATTTATCAATAATGTAAAACAAAGAAGACAGCCAGAAAATTCACTATTTCTTATGCGATTAAACGTTTCGGAGTCCAGCTCCGTCAGTTAAAAACCTAAAACACAAGTACAAACAATTAACAAACTAAAATTCGCATTGAAGATATCAAAACATAAATTGTCAAGTGAAAACCAATAAAAATAAGATAAACAAAAGAAGGCAAACCTATCTATTTACAATTTCGATGGGATATGACATGTAAGCGGCATTTAGACTGGGCATTTGTTTAAAAATATAGTGCATGGACTCTAAAATTAGCAAGTAAGAAAAACCGGTTGTGGAGGCTCAAACTCTAAAATCACTATCGGAAACCAGGAAGTTGCACTGTTCGGGATGAACGCGTACTGCTTAATGAGGGGAATGCGCAAGCAGGTTTCCTGTTGTAAAACTCCTTCCTATGTTCCGCCAAACTAGTATAGAAATTACGTGATGTCATACCGACATACGCAGATGCGCACTGCGCACAACTATATTGAGAAAATACCGACGATCACATGAGAACGGGGAGTGTTTCTTAAGCTTGAGAAATAACCGATTTTTAAATTATTCACCAGTAATATATGAAGATTCACATTTTGGATATACGTAATTGAGGAACAAAACTTTCGACTCCTTACCCTATCGAAATTCGAAGACCTGTCAGCCGCTGGCACACGGACGCCCCAAGTTCTTATGGCCGGGTAAATTAGAAGCTCTATGTCCGCATTAGGTTCCGGTTGCCGTAGCGAAATAAGCGCCGAAATGGAATCTTGTGAAATTACTCGTCGAGCTTGGGGCGATCGTGGGGCGCGCGTATTTGGTACCTGATACGTTCGGGACAGACACGTCCGAATATGAAAAATGCTTAAAAAATGCCCCCTCCCTTCCCCCCCTTATGGGGGGAAGGGAGGGGGCATTTCAATCTCTGAACGTTATATATATATATGCAGTCTATATATAGCGTCATCAGCGTTTGACCAGGGGCATCATGACGAAGCTTGACCAGCTGCTCTTTTTAAGCATATTACGCAGATTTGGCCTACCGGGCAATTGACTTCCAAAAGAGGCTGGTAAATAGAAGCAAAACACCCTACGTGGCCGACTTGCTCCTGATTCACCCCTAAGCCGAATATAGTTCCTCTAAAACGACCTTAATCGGCACGAAAATTTTGACAGGGTGCTCCTGATTCACCCCTAAGCCGAATATAGTTCCTCTAAAACGACCTTAATCGGCACGAAAATTTTGACAGGGTAGCCATAGTCTCCAAAGCATGTCTAAAGAAAGGAAACGAACAGTAAACAGCGTTTCTATTGTCATGTTCGTGAACAACCTCAGAATATTGTGTAAAAAAACAACTTTTTAATTTGAGTTCATAACAATTGCAACGGAAATCCATTTAGTGAAAATATACTGCGGAAAAATTCAAATTCTGGGTAACAAAAAATTCTCAAAAAATAATAACATTTTGACAATGGAAGTTACCTCTGTTTTATAATAAGTTCCAATTATTCATTCTTCAATGAGAAAAACATGAAATACAAATTCCAGTAATAGAATCTTGGGGAGCGCAGCCGTGCACCACCAATTTTGTGCACCAATAAGCCCTGAAACGAACGCCTTGGATCTCGCCGGACATCCACCAATCAGCCGTGAACCACTCGGCTTTGTCTTCCTCCGGCCTCGCATAGAACCTGCCGTGCACCACCAGGCCGCGGATCGAATCTGACTTCCGGGCATCGTTAAATTACGTAATTTTACGTTCACCGCATCCGAGGTTAAGTTTCAGATGGCATAGTTCTGTTCCAAAATGTATCGTCCTTCAACAAGTGGCCGTTCGACCGAGGGCTGGTTCGACCCACGGCCTAGATACGGACGGCTTGGAGTGTTGAAGGCTATACGTTCCGGAAGGCAGGAATCATGATGGTCCATTACATCCAGGGCAGTGGTGGCCTTCGGCAGGCAACCCGAATCTTGAAGGATCTTCTAATCTAAAGAGACTGTAATTCTTCTAGAGAAACATATCATTAGTGTCATTTCGCACAATAATATGGAAAGAGTTATTTAATAGATAATATCAGCCGTCTATTTGTCCCTGTGTGAATAAAATGCAAAAAATCATTCATTAATTGCATTTTTGCAGCTCTTATCACGAAAAGTACATCAACGAGCAGCAAAGAGACAAATTTTTAAAGTATTAAAATTCAATTGTTTGCTTAAATCGCAAGTTAACCAGGAATTTAAAGAAAAGACGATGCAACAAAATTCGCCATTTCGTGATGAGAGAATACGAGTTCCGGAGACCAGCTCCATCGTCAGTCCTAGAAACACAAATACAATCAATTAGTAAAGTAAATCCACTGTCAGGTATTAAAACGGAATGAAGACTAGCAAACTCTCCCTGTTTATACTCGCATAATACTCTCCCTGTTTTTATGCGATCGTCCCAAGGTATTGAATGAACTGATAACGGGTTTTCACTCAATGGACAATAAATAAAATTTTCCTTCCTTGACTATGCAGAAGATAATTTTTCAGTTTCTCAAATAAATACTACCTGTATGGTTTATAAAAATAAACACTTAAAATTAAATACTTTTCTGGTATTGATGAGCTATACGCATCTTCAACTTTAGTTCATCGTTGATGTGAAAGATTTGCTCATATTTCCATTATTCAGGAAAACTGCAGATATTTGCAATTTTTAGTTAGCTATTCAAAAAGCAATTTTTAAAATAGTGGGTCCCAAACTGTTGTGTTCTAGAGAATTCAATTAGATATTTTCTTAAATATCATATCATAGTGATGTCGGTGCTGAAGAATAGGTGTTATGTGGTCTGAAGCCGATTCTTGTACTTTTTGTGACTTATTCACAGGAGGTCTAAAAACAGGTCTTTGACCGGAGCGGAACAGGCCTTCAAAACCAACGATAGACTGATATAGCTACTAGACTTCCACCAAGTTCGATATGGTGCTAGGCAATTCAAGTCTGAACATATATTTTTCCATAACAATTGATCTAGTCTGTTCTTGAACGAGTTCATGCTCGGAGCAGTGACGCGTTCATGTTCCACATGACGGTAACTCGATGCGAGAAGAAGTGTTGTCGCGTCGAGTAGTTGCCACACAGTTTAGTTTCTAGCTGTGGCCCCTGATGTTGATTATTGTTTCAAATTCTAGTAATCCTTCTGACACCTTGTTTTCTGCCTAAAACATCATAATATTTCCTGCCTAACACGATATACACACCTGACAATGATACAAGTTGCCACTCGCCGCCATTATAGTACCAGTCACACACCATTAATTAAATTCGAAATGAACGTTTGCTAGATTCTCTTACATTAGAGTATTAAAAATAAAGAAATGCATAAATGAAGTTCATATAACAGTTTAAATCATAAATTTAATCAATCGAAAACGAATGCTGTCGAATGACAAAACAAACACATACGTACGCACGCACGCAAACGGGCAGCGACTGTATTCTGGCATATATATGTCGTGCCGAAATCGCGGAATTGCCGATTACATGGAATCGGCATCCAGTTGCCGAATCTGTAGAATCCAGCATTTTGTTGCTGATTCAGAAAATCGGATGTTAGAGTTATCGAACAAAAATCGATAGTTAGATTTAAAAAAAAGGTTAGATCAAGTTCGCTCAAGTTACTTAATATTCAAATATTAAAAAAAGAACTGGCTGACTGACCTAACCCCAGATTCCTATAGTATAGAAATGCTGATTCTACAGATTCGGCAACTGGCTGCCAATTTCATGTCATCGGTAATTCCGCTATTTCGACACGGCATACACAGGCATTTAGTTATGCAGGTGCAGACCAGCTCGCCCATGCACCTCCGGGATGATTCTGCCCTCTACCTTCGATCTGCTCTGGGCTTGAAGGGCAGCCTCTGGGCAGTTTATATGCTGGGTAGCTAGGTTAGGCCAAGCCCACTCTTGCCATGCTCTCAGGAGACTATAAAGTCGGCAAGGCGACTCTGACTAGTCGCTGATTGCGGTCGAGTGGACGAGCAGACCCAAAATTAATAACCTCACCATGCAGAACCGTAGCGAGTCTCTCGTAGTCTCTATCATACCTTAATTTTGTTAAGTGTATGACGCCACGCAATTTCTGTACTAGGCTGGCAGAGCATACAGGCAGGGGTTATATAACGGGGAACCTACCTGCACTTCCCCTTCATTCTGCTGGAAGTTTTCAGGCCGAGCAGTGCAACAACTCTGTATCTGATACTGATTTAAAGTCCTAGGTTCCTCATCCGGCGTTACTGAACTACGAATTTTAGAATCCATGCATGTATATATTCAAACAGAAGCCTATTCTGAATGCTGCTTTCAGCTCCTATCCCATTGAAATAGAAAATAGGCAGGCCAGTTTACTAGTGTTCATTTTATGCCGTCATTTCCGTGTTACCGTTTTATTACCTGACAGTGGAATTACTTCAGTAATTGATGATATTTGTGTTTCTAGGACTTGTGTTATGAGCTGACGATGGAGCTGGTCTCCGAAACGTTTTCGTTTATGAAGAAATGGGGAAATTTTGTGGTATTGTCTTTGCTTTTCAATTCCTAGTTAAATTTTCATAGATTCTGATATTGTACTGGCTACGCACTGCGTTCCAAGTGATCTCATTACCAACGACGACACCAGTCATATTAAGTCGATATCCATCACAAATTAGTGATGAATTCAGTTGAAACATGGCTATTTCGGGTAAAATTGGCTCCTCCTTCTATTCAGTCTTATTTGAAGACTCGATCGTTGTATTTGCCTTCAGAGTTTAAGCTGATGCAGTTGATTTAGAACCTAATAAATCATTTGATGGCAAATGTTTAGAGGAATATTTGATCAAATTGGTGGGATATAATTTTGAGCTTCATTCATAGCTCCCGTGAGACATTTGCATATTTTATACAATTTTTATTTGAGAACATTCGCTGCCCAACAGATTGGTGAATAAACACAAACAGATTGGTGCATAATTAACTCAAGATCGCCGGTTGAAATCCTCAAAAGCGTTCTATGACCAGTTCCGATAATATCTCAACAGAGTCAACTACTCTTCAGTAATATTAAGGAAGTGCAGATGCTCATAGGATGGTTTTTTACTTCACTCCTAGCACGCAGGGAGATTTGTTTGAGGATCGTAACAAAGCGTACACTCTTCGTCATTTTCGAAACACGGTATGCTGAGGAAGTTTATCATGCCGTTTTCGATGATCATCTCCGCACAGTCATGGTCAGGACTCAACGCATTAACGAAATACACGTCGCCCATCGGTTCCATGCTCGGCATCCAGCGCCACACCAAGTCTTCGCCACGATGAATGTTAACCCAGAAGTAAATTTCGTCTGAGAATAAACGAGAACATAAGATTGCATATTGAACGATCAGTTGTTCTGTATGCGTCATTCACTTGATTTATCTAATATTCTAATATATCATACCAATGGAACAGTTCCGTACTTCCGTTGCAACATAAAAGATTCGATCGAATTTTTGTGATGCGGCTGAGCTCGACTATATGGAGTTTCGATTCATCTTTTCACTGCCTCACAATATTGTAAATATTGTAACTGCAATCCTAACTGAAATATTGTCTACTCACTGGCGGGAAGCACAGTTGGGTCGCCGATGAGGCTGTAGTTGTAGTACAGTTCTCGGGAAGCCATAGGAAGACCTCGCGCCTCGCACCGAATCTGTGCCTCACAGAAACCGACGACGTCGACAGGGCATTCCGCTACCTGTATTAAAAAACAGTATTAATAGAGCAAAAAATGCCTCATTTTCATCTGTTTATAGCGCACACAGGAAATCATTACGTTGTATAAGAAATAGATTTATTGCTTTGTACATAATTTTTAATAATTTTTAAGTTGGAATGTATTAGGCTTAGGATTTTGATTTTTCATTATCAGTTTTCAATCACCTTAGCCGTCACCTCCAGCAGTAGAGCGTTTTGTCTATCATTGTGTCCAGTGTTCTTTCCGTGAAGGTACGTTAAGCTCTGTGATTGTTCAATTTTTGAGTGAATCGTTTTATGTTATTGATTATTTGTGCGAGTTATTTTGTTTATTATATATTCATATTCTCTATTTAGATAATCCAAGCATTATTTTTGTTCTATTTTTGGGAGGCCTCGATTATTGGGCTTATGATGTAAATTGGAAGTGATTGAAACACACGGTTATAGTTAGGATTCGAGTTAGGGTTAGGTTTGTTGTTTTGTTTCTATTTATTCTTCGTTAGTTACATGCACTTTAAACTGTTTATTTATTGAATAATCTCACGGTTTCCGCTACCTCCACCTACCTGATAAAGGCGAATTTTTTAGTATACCAAACATATCCCGCTTTGGGATCATGGACAGTAAATATTCACGCCACTTCACTCCCAGAATGTCGTACGCGATCTAACTAGTTAAAAGAATGTGATAATTTAAAAGTAACTCAAACGATTAAAATAGAACGTCAGGAATGAATAAACATCAGTCAAATTACCACTAAACAGGATATTATCAAGTTTACCAGCTTACAAAAATTACCAGGCAGTATCCGTTGGCAGCCTGAGCACAGCACGTGTCTTTCGGTGGCATAACGACGTCCGCGACGCGACGTCGGTTCCGGTCTGAAAGGACGAAGACAGATCAGGGGCCGTATTATCAAAACGTCGTAGGTACGCAAAATCGACTTACGAGTGGCGTTGCTATGACAACGTAATACTAAAGGTGGAATTATAAAAACATTTGAGCGGGAAAATTTTGCGCAGGAAAAAAATTTAGGCTTTTAGCTAAGACTTGCGTACGAAAATTTTGATAATGCCAAAATTAGGGTGTATTTACGTACCACAGAACTTTTTTGTCGTAAGTACAAAAAGTTACGAAGTTTTGATAATCCGGCCCCAGAGTATTACTGTACAATGTTACTGTGGTTACAATAGCGTGGAATAAAACTAAATAAAAAGAGCATCACCCGGTTAGAAATTCATGACGGTTCGCCAACTTTATAAAGTCGTGGCTGGCGAGCGAAACGTAGATTCGGCGCACGACCAGTGACCAACCACATCGCCGAATGTGAGGCATAGAATTAACTAGAACTTATTACATCGTGCTGCACTTAATTCAGGTCGTGAAGGGAAAACACGCTGTTTGTAACTGCTGAAAGTTCTGATAGAATAGATCTTCGTAAATTCGGGTTTAGATCGGGTTCCAAAGGCCGGATCCCTTGTGAATCAAGTCACGAAAAATTCAAGAATCGGCAACAGGCCATGGGCCTATTTCTTCAGTGCCGACATTTCTATTCTATTCTTGGAGCGACCCGCTCTGAACATTTAATCAGCATTGTAAGTTAAGCAGACAATGATGTTCCACTTCTGAATCAATGCTGACGTGAAATAAAATATCGCGGATACTGCTCACTACTGGGGCGCAGGCCACAAATGTTATTCTTAAATAAGCCGTTGAACCAACGCCCAGCCTCATCATGCATAAACTTTACTCGGTCACAGAACTAGAAGCCACGGACTAAGCTTGAACTCCGCAATCCAGACACTCCACGCACTGCCGAAAGATAATAGCAGCGTAGGTCTTCAGCCAATGCAAGCATGCTCGCTCATAAGCAGGCAGTTCCTCATCCGGCTGTACCTACTCAGACCTAACCTATGTACCACTCAGGCCTATTTTACCAGGCCTATTCACGCTGCCCCGGCCCACAATCTTTTTGCAGCCAATGACTGGCTCTACTAGCCCCATAGACCGCTTTCTGACTTCATGCAGCCAGTGAGGTTAGGTTAGGCCGGCTCAGGTTTTTTTTGGGTGGGGATTGGGGAAATGTTGCAGCTTGTTTCGGTGAGACCGGAAGAGGTTTGGCCATGCTCAGATTTGGCAAACTTAAGTTGTTACTGTGGACATATGGCGATATAATTTTGAGTACTTTACTTCATAGGCTGTTATGCTCTCTAGCGTTCTTACCAACGGTAATGAATATGAAATAAACGTGCTGTTTGGCAAAACTGGCCTCCGGCATGCACCCACAAACACACGGCATGTTTGGATTATTACGTTGCCGTGTTATTTTGCCAATTATTTAAATCGTAGCAGGCGCCCAGAATGGGATATGAGTATTAATCTGCGTCTCAGACATCCTCACTGCCACAGATGAAACAAATAGGAAATAACTCCTCACTATTCCTGGAACAGATTCCGAAAGCGAGCGAGTGAGAAGAAATAAGGAGGTATCAGGGACATCAGACGCTCGTATTTTGGACTTTGTGACGTGAACTCGTTGCACTTTGATCGCGAGTGGCATGCGACTAACAGGTTTAACCCCAGTTTCGAGTAGCGAGAAAGCATTATGGTAGTATTGCCTGGGATACTGGACTCAGCTGCATGGGGTCTACACATAACGAACGAAGTTGATTGGAACGAGATTACTATAACTTATCAGAAGTTTTTAATCTCATACATCAACAGACAGTCGGACTTCAAACTTATGCGATATGGCCATGTCCAATGACCGAGAAAGTGTAATTTATGCCTAATTTTTAGCGCCTTTTCTCGTTTATGAAAAAATGCATTATTGTGCTCGCCATGTCCGTCTGTCTGTCCGTCCGTGACTTCAAGTTTTCGTCGACGAGGAAATGCGCTCTCTGTCACTCACTGCAGTGAGTACTGAGTTATATTTTTTACTTTGTACACGTACTATGTACCTAATTGTGACCTTGGACCTGTAGTTTGCTCTCAAGTCTGTCTCAGTTCCCGTACTTTAATTGTGCTCGAGTCAGTCTCTTTAATTAACATGCTTTGCACTCAATTCTAACTCTGCACCCGAACTTTGAACTGAAGACAGGCCCAACACGTACTCGTACTTTGAACGTTGCAACAATACTTTGAACTGAAAGCTTATCCTGTACCGTACTTTGAACAGAAGGCTTTCTATGCACCTAGCTGCACCTTGAACCCAAGACAGATTTCGCACCCGTACTTTGAGCTGACTTTGCACTAGTAATCTGATTTCATGTCTGACCCTATATACACGAACTTTGAACTGAAGGTAACCTTCGTACTTTGCACACATGTCTGACCATTCAAACGTACTTTCAGCTCAAGGCTAATTTGCACTTGTACTTTGATCTTAACTCTGACCTTGCACCCGCATTTTAAACTCAAGGCTGCTTCTGCACCGGTCTCTTGGACTGGAATCTGACCCTACACCCGTGCTTTGCCCTCAAGTTGGGCCTATAGCACCTCTGCTTTGCACTTAAGGCAGTGCATATTGACATTTCCCTGTTTACAATGTTGGTTTTGAGTGCATCAACAGCTCAACAGTTTATATGATGTAAACAATAGATGTAAAATATGACAAAACCTACCGCCTTAGGTGACGCCGATATCGGTGCACTGAAGACATCCGATCCGCTCGTTCATATTGTAGAGCTTGCCTTCAAACTCGCACTGTTCTGAACTCGGGCGAATAAATTAAGTATTTCATATAATTCGATAATTTAGAAAATAATTAATCATTCTTAATAAATAGAAAATTTTTTAATGAATAGTGATGAATAATTGTGATTATAATACCAGAAGAATGATAGCGGCGCTACTGGTTGGTTTAACTTTAAATCAACTCTATACTTGGTTTGCCATCGAAAAATTTTACAAACACTAAAAATTGAGGCTGCTATGAGATTTCAATAAATATAAAATTCACCTGCTAAATAAAAAATGCATGCACTTAACTGAATAACAAAGAATTAATACAGTATACAGTGACACGCAAAAGTATTGGATACATAACAGTTTTCTCCATATCTCACTCAAGTCAAAGTTTAATTCGAGGCCTTACATAATATTTGATCGGTATATTACTAATGTTACTAGAAACAATAAATAGAAATGATATCGAAAAGTAAGCATTGTTTAGATTTTTTCAACAAAATATAAAATTATCTCACGCGAAATTATTGGGTACATGTTCATAAATGAAGAAAATAGACTTTTCAAAAGTACTCAAAATTCGTTTTGCACTTAGGACGTTCCGCTCATTGCATAGCAATGGTTTACAAGATTTTGTGTTCCTGTGAAAATATTATTCAGCTTGATATTTTAAAATTAATTTAAAATGCCTAGAACTCGAGAGATGGCGACAGATAGGCGTCAAAAAATCATCGATTGTCACAAGAAAGGTTAATGGGTTTCGAATAATGACCAAAGAGCTTGATCCATCATTAACTACAGTTGGAAATATCAAGAGGTACAAAAATTTCGAGCATGCTGTTGCAAACCTTTCAAGCAAACCTGGTTGCAAACCATGCTGTTGCAAACTTTTGTGCAGACCTGGTCGTTCAAGATAACTAACAGACGGTAATGCTAGGTGGATTATCAAAAAGATGCAGAAGAACCCGTTTGTTATTCGTGGTGAAATTAAAAGCGACCTTAAGGAAGCTGGGATTGATGTAGGAAAGGACAGAAGAAGCAGAGCTCTAAATATTATTGGTCTTATGTCAAGATTCCCAACCCTATCGAAATTCGAAGACCTGTCAGCCGCTGGCACACGGACGCCCCAAGTTCTTATGGCCGGGTAAATTAGAAGCTCTATGTCCGCATTAGGTCAACTGCACTCTAAATTCCTGGAGAGACAATCAAATAAATAGCAGAATAAACGATAGTTATGGAAATCCTCAAATTAAATATGTTGCTCACAGAGAGGCTCCTTGTAAAGTAAATAGTTCATAAGCTATCTTCTACTTGAGCAATAAGCTCAAGCATGCAGACATAGTACCTACGCCCAAAGCTGGACAGTTCTTTGGTTGAAGAAACCATTCGTCTAGCAAAAAATTTTACCGGGGTCTGAAAATACTGCTTGCAACCGCTGAAAAATGAAGAATAGAAGCATTTCTAAATTCTAACGTCTAATACCAATTCAATATTGCTCGATGGTAATTTTCTGAATCTATCTTCGTATAATTTGTAGTTTTTCAGAAATAACCAAATTCATCCTTATACTTGAATGTAACTCCATAATGAAGCCTGATGATACAACGAAATAGAGTAGATAGAACGGAAGAAAAGCAACTAACTTACTTGCGACTAGGTAATCGGTATACGCTCTGCAACCTGTTCCGTCTTGTTCAGCTGGCCCACCCACTGGCCATTAGTGTCGAGTGTTGTTGGTTAGGTAGGCTAGCATGCATCCTTGGCAATGGTAAGCTTTCGAGTTCCGACTACTCTTAATCCAGTTGACGCGTTGATTTATAGAAATTAAAACCTTAAGCATATGAACAGGAGCAGCTTAAATAACATGCTCGTGTCGACATGCCCAAAGTTGAAAATTTCAACCGCAGCCAAAATCTTGATCTTGAACACACAAATGCGTAGTCACGATGAATGTCGCCTGCCGACGAGAACTTGAGAAGTAGGTACCTATTGCAACGAACTGATCAAATAACAAATGATTTAGAGCATATTCCGCATGAAATCTTCTCTTATTGTCGAAAAAAGAACTTGCATCGTATGATTGCTGAAGTGATTGAAAGAAGTGATTGTGAAAGTTACACCATACAACTACATCTTGTCACTCGTGGGAAAAACTTAACAAATTTTCCTTCATAATTTAAATTTTCCAGTCAAATACGTCATAATTTAAGGAAATTATTTAAAGCTCTCTGAAAGCATCAAATTGTTTAGAGCTCTCTGAATGAGACAAAACTATAATAGGCTAGTACCTTTTCGATAAGCATTGAGCAATGAGCACTCTTCACCACGTACTGATCGATTGAAGGTTCGATTCAAACTGACGCCTTCCTATTCAATTGCTGCAACGGTATGCTCTGTCCGGATGGGGGTGCGGGAGGTAGACCCCCACATACCCCCGTATGGCGGGAACTTCGATTGTTCGTGCGTTTACCTTGTTCAGCAACTGTTCAGCCCGATCGTGCGATAGCGTCATCAGCGTTTGACCAGGGGCATCATGACGAAGCTTGACCAGCTGCTCTTTTTAAGCATATTACGCAGATTTGGCCTACCTGTCAATTTGCTTCCAAAAGAGGCTGGTAAATAGAAGCAAAACACCCTACGTGGCCGACTTGCTCCTGATTCACCCCCAAGCCGAATATAGTTCCTCTAAAACGACCTTAATCGGCACGAAAATTTTGACAGGGAAGAGAGGTTGTAGCGTATATCGCTATATAACTACTTTTATATTTAGAAAAAGTGAAGAAAGAATGCATACAAGCGCATCAACGTAGCCGTTGGCAACACTCATTTCCGGTTGATCACAAGCAATGCCGGCTCTCACAGATCACTCATATTATCAGCCGCTGCTCCAGCAGGATCGTGGTAAGCTGACTAACTTAGAAACATTGCCGTTGTCTCTAGTTGTGCGCAGTGTAGTGTAGCCGTGATTGATGAAATCTGGAGAAAGTGCAAGGTTCTGCGTCAGTCAATTTTGCCGGGCCTTATACTCACGCGATATTCATAACCTGCTTACTTACCAAATTGAATCGTGTGTTCAAAAGAAGCAACGCTCTGTTTCGCAGCAGCTTCACGTCAGCACCAGCAACGCACAAATTGCTGCCCATGTAACATCACTACAACAAAACGTGCAACTCTACGTCATCTCGCAACAACGCGTGAAATTCCACGTGTCTCTTGCAACCCAACGTGCACCTCCACGTTCATCTCTCGACGCCACTTGCATCTCTCACTACGAGTGTTCATCATCAAGCAGGTCACGTGAGCTAAGAATGAACTCTGGTAATTATTATTTTTCATTAACCAACCAATTTTATCAGGCAGCCCTAACTGATATAAATCTATTCCTATTGGCATAACTCTTTTTACCTAGGCCTTGGAAAAATACCTGAAACGTAGTAAATAATTAAATGTGGTCGGGTGCTTGCCCCCACAAGGTTCCATTGTTGAAGTTCCAACACATGAAAGCCCGTGTGAATTATTTTAAAACATATGGGGAGAAGCCACAAGCATTTTTGGATAAGGTAATCTGGCCGGACGAAACGAACTTTTCAGAAGGAATTCAGCTACCCGGGTGTGGCGAAAAAATGACTCAGCGTTCAATAAGAATACGTTCCTATACCTTGAAGTTTCATGGCGGTTTGATTATGATCTGGAGGTGTTTTTGTTCAAAATGTCCTGTTGAATTGGCCATTATTGATGGCAGGATAAATAGGAGGATTTTTAGGGAGATTTACAAAAAAAAACACTTAAAATCTGCTGATTCATTGGGGCTTGGACGCGATTTTGTGTTTCAGGGTGACGATGATCCCAAACATACAGCCAAGCTCACGAAAATATCGCTTCAAAACAGCGAAGTTTATGTTCTTTCTTGGCCTTGCAATCTCCAGGCCTCAACCCCTTTCAGAAGTTGTGGAAATAGTTGAATATCAATGTTCACAAAATGAACCCAAGCAATATCCAGTAACTAAAAGATTGCTGTAGAGAAGAATGACACAAAATATCTGCAAATGTAGACAAAAAAAGCGTCTGCAATTATAAGCTACTGGAAGCTGTACAACAAATTGAAGGATACGCAACCAAATAATAAATTGTTGTATCCAATACATTCGCGTGGGTTAATTTTTCTATTATAGTGAATAAAATCTAAACAATGCTTACATATCAATATCCTTTCTATATAATGTTTCCAGTACCATTAGCAATATCCTAACCGAATACTAGGTAAAATCTCGCAATTTAACTCAAGACATAAAGAAAACTGTAATGTATCCAATACTCTTTCGTTCAAATTTATGCCGGCAATGTTAGCTCACGCAGGAGTTGCCCGTTGAGCTGACAAACGTCGCGCAGGTCGGCGTACTGAGCGCTGGGGAACGTCGCCCCCGTCGCCACCAGGGAGCCGTTCGCCAGCACGCAGCCTCGAAGTGGGGAACATAGACACGTTATTCTTCCTAAAAACATAATATTTATTCATTTCTCCCACGTATAAATGTACAAATCAGCAAGTAAATAACCCCTTCAGCGATTTTCATGCAAATAATAATAAAGCGCCGCACCCGCTTCGATGATCGCTGCACTCACCATCATCTTGGTAGAAGAGCTTGCAGTGAGATTGTTGTGTTCCTGAATCCGCTGAAAGACCAACTGAGGCTTTTTGCCCCCAGAGGGAGCATTCCCCTCCCTCCTGCATGGGCGTGTAACAGGCTACGTAAACCCAGTCCAAAGTCGTGGCCCGGTTCATGCATTGTACGATGGAGCGGAGGATGTAACTGGAGTTTTGCATTGCTATCGTCGCGAGGAAAGTCGTGTTCACCGTCACCGACTTCCAAGCTTTGAAGCGTCCTTCACACTCCAGGATAAGAAGCAAGCAGCAAAGTGTCGTCAAGAGCAGAGATAAATGACCAAAAACGAAAAACTTGAATGAGGGGGTCGAATTTTGACCGGGACTTGTAATCAGCGACCGCATAACTTATAATCTTTTTGTCCAATGTTTGAATTAATTAGCTGCGTCTGCTATAGTATTTACCACTGTGGTCATAACCGACCGACTTACAGCAACCGTCGTCTGTGCCAAGAAAATATTTATAAATAATAAAATACAGTACCTCAAATATAATAACGCGTAGCATGCAAAGTTCATGTAGCCGCATATTTCTCGTCTGTGATTGGTGGGTTTAGCTAGGAAAGCTGTCAGTGATCGGCTGACGGAGTTACGAACTCGAAAATATTGTTGGGCTTACGAGGTTGAATGAATAGAAGGTATTGTTTTCAGCCATGTTCATCTGATATGAACATTTTAACGAATGAAATTATGACATTCATCATCAAAACAACACTTTGTTTCGAATTGTAAGTTTATAGTGAACGTTTCAAATTCGTATCATTTTATTTAGGTATTACTTTAAAAATAGGGCATGTTTAGGTTTAATTGCTAGCGCCTCGAAACCATTGGAATATTGCTAACAAATATCCGTAAGTTATGGTCCAAAATACATAGCTGATAAAAGTTCTAGTCGAAAATTATCTACTAAATTACGAAGAATATAACTGTGCCGGAACAGTCAAACAGATCTTGATCGATCGACGAAGGTAGATGTGGATTCTTGCTCGATCGACTAGGATGAAACACCATTCAGAGTGGGCAACGTGGAGGGCAATGTCGCTGGGCGCAACGCCGATTATAGAGGAGCTTTCTATGCCGACTCAGCGAAGATCTTTACTATTTCTGACTCCGATAATTTGTTAAATCGAATAATCTGCATCGAACGATGCTGAATCTACAGCAGTTGAAGTTGAATCTGAATTAATCGATGTCGAATATCCATTAATCTACATAGAATCTTCATCAGCATGGACACGTTAGTCTTCCTAAAGTACCGAGTAGCTTATGTGTCCATTTAGTTTAGATAATAATATATATGTGGAAACTTTGTTGAGTTTTTTTACCTAATAATTTCTAATGAACGTCTGTGTCGCGTTTACAAAAAAGGAAAATGTTTACGAAAGGCAAACTTCACGCTAAGTCAGTGGATTTTTTTTCCGGAAATTGGAAACACCGAAGTCGCTTCAAAAATCGGATGCGTTGAGACTCTCGCGCGGAGGTTTCAACTATTTTTTGCTCATGTATTTTCGTTATAGAAGCATGCAGAATTTAGTTTCTGATTGTAATAATATGTTCAAATTCCTGTGGATAACGCGTAGCAGGAATGAACAGCACGAAGTATGGAAAATTTAGTTAGTCTGAGTGCCTGCTTCAGACCGATATTTCTCATTTTTACCGATTACATTCTGATTCTTATTATTTTGTCATGAATTGTGTCTCTGGCGAGTGATTAGTTTCGAGTGAATGCATTATGTTACATGCTGCAGCGCAGCATCCTAACAATTAATTACAAATATTGTGGGTTGTTTGTTTAGAGTGAGACAATCCGCTTTTAAGAATGCCACCACAGAGTGAGGGCTGCCGTAATTCAGTCGATAAAATAGCAAGCTGATTCAAGTAATATGAGTCACTGTATTGTTTCCACATTATAGTGATTTCAAAGACGAAAGCTCGTGTTTTTCGTTTTGGCGAAGTGTTGTCTGATGGAAGCTTGCCCTAGAAATAGTCATAAAATATTCTTTCTGATAGCTCATTATTTGCCCGCCAGAGGGGCAAACCACGCCTTGACATTCAAGCAGGGTACGCCTGCTTTGGCGTTGACTGATTGGTGCTGCTGAGAATGTTGCGGAAAGCCCGCGAAAGTGTGCATGGAGAGAAACTGACTAGAAAGAGTATGTTTCAAATGTGCCTATTTTAATTTATTAGTATTGCAGAATAACTTGTTACCTTTACAATATGTTATTATTTTTCGCAGGTATCGTAAATATTTCACTGTATTAGTCTGGTTCTCTTATTGTGCATTTACTGAGCCTTCGAGCAAACGTGAATAACCAATGTTCCTATATGGGGAGGAATTTCATGCAAGTTGTGATGGTGTTAACCAGTGTGGAATTCTGGATAGGTTCTCTATTCTCACAATAATTTAACGAAATTGAGCGAAAAAAAACACGTTACACCTTCCACCGCAATGACAAGTAATACACTGAGCTTATCAGAAACTTCCGCGGTTCAGCTATCGCGCGATTTACCGACTGCATGTGGATCTCCGGGTCGGCGATGCCTTTCTCGAATGAATTCGCTAGAAGTTTATCCGCAACTGACCAATTTTTGATATGAATATGTTCCAAAATAAAAGAAATTCGCGTCAAATTTCGCAGAAAATTCTCAAGATTTCACCAATATAAACAAGGTCTTAAATACCATACGAATTGATAAGATAAACTGCGATTCTTTCATGGCATATCGCACATCGTGAAATATAGTGAACATATGATGAGATGTCCCACTTATTGTTTGGGTGATATCAAATTCGATTTCACAATAAATAGATTTGATCCACACTGAGATTTAAATGATGGAAACTCGTTCCAAATTTAAATACCTCTTGATACTCGTCCATATATGAAGTTTTTCATGTTTTTGCTCGATTTTGTCGATATTGCCTAACTAACTTCACTTCAGATTCTGAATGGTTTCGTCTCCCATCGCGATTTTTCGAACGTCTCGTGTCTTTTAGAAAATGTTCGTTGTTTAGAAGAGGCAATTATTTTACTATATAAATCAAAGAGCGCTTAGACATGTGCCATGTGGTGTATTAAAATTTGGTAGCTGTGACGCTTTCAAAATTTCAATCTCCAAAAATTATTGTATGACAATTTAAAATTCATAATTTGATTCATGAACAAATTCGATTGATGAATAATTTTATAGATAGATATTTTCGATGCAAAAATTAATGATAGGTTAATAATATAAGAAGCATTATTTAAAACGGTTTCACACTTTATAGGACCAGCACCTGAACAAGTAAACAAAAATAATTTGTGATTTTAAGGCTCAACGTTTGTTAAGGTTATTTTGACCAATTAGTGGCAGAACAATGCGACACATGCGGCTACCCAATGCTCGCGTGTCGGTTCAACAGCTTAGGCACATGTCTATATAGCTGCAGCAGGCAAAAATGAGCATCATGAGAACGAAGGTAAAAATGTCATCCATACATCCCAAATTGAATGACAATGAATGGATTTGTCAAGTATTTTATGAATCCCGTTTATATATAGGAATGAAAATTTTGCTACTGTTTCAGAATCAGTTCTGGAATACGCTAGAGAAAACTAAAGTTCCATAGTAAATGTTTTTTTTTTGCTACGACAAAATACTTAGATTTGAAATATATAGAAGAGTGAAAGGATCGAAAAAGTCGTAAGAAAAATATTATTTCTTGGTGTGAAAATCCAAGTATACTTTAAACATTCATCAGAAATTGTACAAATGTTAATTAACTTGAACTGAATATGCAGTATATTGAAGGCTTGAACTTAACGTTCATACCAGTTCATCAATACATCAATCAAAGAGATCGATAGCGATGTCTGAAAATTTTACCAGTAAATGTTTCTAATACGAAATAGTTGGCAAGTGTATATTGAAATTCACTTCCGCATTGCCAATCATAATCCGGAAAAAAACTGAGTTGCGCGGGTGCTTTCATTGCATGAATGCTGCCTCGCATTTTGCTCCCTCGCAAAGCTTTCGCTGTGTGCATCATATTAAACTCTTATTGATGGCGTGATTTGTATAATTAATTCATGAATGTTAGTTTGTTGTGTTTGACTTAGAGACAAATTGCTAATGAATTATTCTTTAGTATAATTGAAATCTTAAGTGTTGCAAACTTCATTCTTGATTCTTTCAAGTGCAACTGTACACCCTCCTATTTTTATCTTTTCTATCTTAACTATAATTTTTAGACCGCAAAAAGTGGCGGAGGTGGAGCGAAAAAATATATGAACCATCTTTTTTAGAATTCCATCCTGGACAGTTAACACTACTTATCAAGAGGCCAGTTTTTTGCTCAAGTCATAAGTAAGCTTGTAATAACTGAGATTACTAGCGTAGTTACCTGTCTTCTGTAGCCGATTTTTTGTGCTCTGAGATATTCTCTGAGATAAGTTAATTTGAATCGCCGGTAGTTGCGGATAACATTGCCTTTCCATACATTAGACATTGCCCGGAATATGCTAATACTTGCATATGAGAAAGCAATAGCTAATGTTTGGAACAAATATGCAGGAATTTATTCAAACGCCCTCATCTTTGAATCTGTAGCACAATTTTTGAATCTTAGAATTAACTAGGCTGTGAAATGCTCATCCTTTTGGCTCATTGCATTGAAAAAGTGCAATTCTCTATTTCTCTATATTTTATGTTGTAGTACATTTAAGTACTCATACTCTTAGAATAACAAAATTGACGCAATAGTTCTGATGAAATTACGTTTGTGCAGGTTTTTCACGCTAGGCGGAGCGGATAGCGTGAACGACATCAGGCGGATAACGACATCAGGACGGAGCATAAATTCCCTATAAATGCTTGACTTATGCCGCCACAATAACCTATTATTCTTTACTCAGGGATCGAAAAATTAATCGCATATAAGTCAATTTGTTTTAGTACATTTTTGAGCAGTCAAGAAAACGTGAGTAACCGATGTTTTGACCAGGATATAATCTATGTCTAAGTGTATTAACATTGACAGAAAACCAGTTTCTTTCTCAAGCCGACCTGAGGCCAGTATTGCATCCGAGATTACTATCACTAGTTATCTGCTTATAGAATCTGATTTTTGCCGTTGGGACAATTAATTTCATTAGCCTAAGCTGCTAGTTGTCACGATGTTTACTA